TCCTATTTGATATCGTCTTACTTCATGTTTCTTGTAGTCAGAGATGTAGAGATATCTCTGATCATCCATGGCCAATCCAAGAGGATCGATGTCGTCGATAAGGGTTTCTCCTTGAGTTGTACCACTACGACGAGAACATCGTACGACTCGTCCAGCATCGCAAATAATGAGACTATCCGTCTCTTTGTCAATCAATACATCGGTTCGACTATTCAATTGATCCAATCGTTTTCCGTAGCCATTGCCACCAGCTACTACTTGTCCATTTGTATCACCCATCTTACATTGAATGATACGCTCATTGCCCCAGTCAGCGATGACCATCGTTTGATCATCATCAACGAAGAGACCACAAGGGCCGTAGAGTTGATTGGTGCCACTGCCTTCTCTATGACCTCCAGCAACAGTCACTCCCTTCTGGGCCCATCGGGCATCGGCTGGAATATTGAGAATTACTACAATGAACAAAAAAGAAAAGAAATCGTCGTTGTCGAAGGCATTTCGTCTCTCGTGAGAGCAAGCGCTACAAATATGATATTCGTCTTTGAGAATGCTCATTCCACAGATAAAAATTCAGAAGTCTTTTCTTAGTTTCGTATGAGAAAAAAAGGATTTGGTAACGATTCTTACATCTATGTCATTTTTAGTTCTTGACAAGATCTTTTTGATCTTAAAAATAACACCTGGAGATTGCTGTAAGAAGGTTCTTCAAGAAAGAGTAATACTAATTCCATGTAAGTTTTTGATAGAAAAACATAAGGATCTGAGAATTTTATTCAGAATTGCAAGAATTCAGAATCTTTTTGGCAGAATGGTCATTTGTATGAACATCAGAGAAGATTCTATCTACGTGTTGTGAGAAGAATATCGAATCGTTGAACAACATAATATCAAACCTAATCCCTATGTTTTTTAGGAAACCTTAAGGATACATGATTTTCTGTATGATGAATGTAGATCTGCCGAAGAATCTCCTAAGTATTTGCATAGGCTTTTGGTAAGTTATGTGAAGCTGTTCGAAGAACAACCGTGATGTACTCTGAGTAAGATCATGAGAAGGTTTGGATACGGGCGAAATTGAACAAAGTTGAGAGGATCCCACGCGAATCTATGTAATCTGAGAGAGCTTCTACTTTTGCAAATGTCGAAAAGATGGATGTCAATCCGAACGGAGCTCTCCAGCGACAAACATTGGGATCTATGGATTTTATGGCTTTGAAAAAGGGCGATGATAATGGGATAGGCAGAAAGTGTTCTAAAATGCTATTTTTAACTTTTGATGAACACCATCTTCAAACCATTGTATTAGGGTCCTCAAAGAGAATCTTGATGACTAAATAAGATACTCTGTCAAAATCTGAAAATATAAAAATAATGAGTATCTTCTATGAGGATCATGTTATAATCCTTATGTAGTACTTGTTCTGAGAAGTCTTCTGTAAGCTCGCATGTTATGGATATGTTCAGGAGGATCTGAAGAGTAAGTATTTTGGAATGGTTGATATCAGAGATAGGCAATTCCAACTCCAAAGTTGATGTTTTTTCTCATCAGAGTGAAAATGGAGTAGGAACAGGACAGAATGGAGGTGCCTATCTTTAAATTTTATTAGAAAGTTTATAAAGCAATAAATTAATATGCTACTAATTTATATCAATCGTAGATTTAATTATGTTCAAAAACTTATGTGTATTTAAGAGTGTTTTGGCAGAAGTTCAGTTTTGTAAAATCCGACTCGAATTGAAGTTAAATTGGAGTTGGAGGAAGACAGAGTGTAGTTGCTCATCTCTGTTTAGTACACAAATGTCGATCGTAATCAGTACCCAGGATAACTTCTCTGGAATATTAAGAATTACTACAATGAACGACAAAGAAAAGAGATCGTCATTATCGAAGAGATTTTCGTCGCTCATACACGAGAAAGTACTATAAATGAGACAGTGTTTCTGTAACGTAGTCTTTAAAAAAAAAGCACATCGTAAGGAAATGCTTTCGATGTCGAGGAAGAGAAAACTGCTTAACATGAAATTCTAAGGAGATTTCTATGTTCTAGTTTAGTATTAGAATTTGAAAAGGAAATCTTACGATTCTTTCAGCGGTATTCAGCTCATTTTCGTATGATATAGGATGTTCGAAAGAAGAAAAAAAATGATGAAATGAAATATCAAGATGCTTAAAGTCGTGTGCATTTTAAGTTTTTCATAATAGGGGTTGAAAAACGATCTCTATAAAACATTAATTAGGATTTATGTCTAAGCTACTCTTTTAATTGTATAACTTTTTTTTTATAAAAGTAAATCCTTTTTTCAATTAAGCATAAACTATCATTCATCAGCCATGTTTGATGCTTGTGATACAACATCATCTTAATACATTAAGTAGTTTCATTAGACTAAAAAGACTTTCATTAAATTGATGAAAACTTGTTATAGTTTTATCAAAAACAATTTTTTTGATTTTTTCCGAATTCTA